TCCTTTCCTTTCCTTTCCTTTCCTTTCCTTTCCTTTCCTTTCCTTTCCTTTCCTTCTAATGTTTACAAATAATAACGTGGTGGAGGTTTTGACATTCAGCTCAGAAATGTATACTTTTTAAAAAATATATCATGAAACCACGTATTCTGCTTGGTGTCTTTTATATTGAGCATTAATTATACATCAACCCTCCAGAAATCAGATTTGCCCCGATCCTGCTGGCCTTTTGCAAGGCACCAAAAATTTGGCTTTGACTCCAAGCCTGGGCCCCAGATCATCTGGGTAAGCCTGTTTCGTGGTTAGTTGGAGTGTTATGAGTGCTCTTGGCCGCTATTTTTGTGCTATGTTTGTCATTTCTAATTTGGGATGCTTTTATTGTTTTTACTATTTTAATGGTTCGCTGCCCACAGTCTTGTATATAAGATGGGTGACCACGTAAATGGAACAAATAAACAAATACAAATAAATAAACTTCAGTAGTTACCTCCCCATTTATAGATATTATTAATTTTGGAAAACCCACCTTGGTTTTAAATAAAATAAAAAGGGGACAAGAGGTTCATTTTGGGGCTGATCCCTGTAGCTTCTGATGAGCGCCAAAGATTTTATCCAAACTCTCCAGTCGCAGGGCGGTGGAGAAAAGATGGATGGACGTAATCTCTTTTTAAGGCTCTTCCAGTGTTCTGTGCTCCTTGCTTGTTTCAGGAGCAGAAATAGGGCAAGAATTGGGGCGAATTCTAGAGCCCGTGGGAGGCCGTAGTGCTGGAAAATCTTGCCTCATCTCGTCTCTGCCTCTGCACTGACCATTGTCCTACAGAAGCTTTTTGCAGAAGAGAAACTACAAGAATTCTTTGTGGAGGCCCCGTACAGAGAATTGGAAGCAAAGAAAACAATGGTGCCTGTGGGAATCTCCCACGGAAAATCCCATAGGTCTAGCGCCAATCCGGGGTCCTCCAGATTTCCAAGCCTGCTATTCTCCCTGCTCTTTTAAGAGGATGGGCATTTGGGCTCGACATTCCCGGGGAGATATAAGAAAGATGATTTCCCCCCCTATTCTTCTTTCTTTTCTTTCTTCGTTTGTATTTTTAGTTTGTTTGGGGTTTTCTGTTTTCTCTTTGGATTGTTAAGCCTGACGATCGTTCTGTTGACTGCGCGTGCATAAAATAATTAATTAAAATGGCGGCGGGGACATGAAGCATCAGGTTGGACAAGATTAGGGTACGGCGGTTCCTAGGACCCCTTGAGAAAGAGATTTTTCAGAGCTGGTTTTCTGAATGAATGTGTGGAAGTGGGACAGAGGAAGAAAAGAAACCACTTAATGACGCCTGAGTCCAGAGGCTGCCACGGATAACCACCCTGATTGGAACGGAAGTTGTAGACGGCTTCATTTTGCAAAGCCTGAAACAAATTTTAGGCACCCCAGAAATTATGTGAAGGGAGAGAGTCACCGTCAGGGGAGTGAAAATACCAAACTTAGCAGAAACGTGGGTATGTCTGTAGCCCTGATTGAAACTAGCAGACCACTTGCACATCTGGACCGATCAAAGGAAAAAGAAGAATAGTTTTTGATGGTGCACTAGGTAAAAGTCAACAGAAGCAAAATTGCGTAGGGTGACCTACTCACCGGAGAGACTCTGGCCTGCTTGCCCATTCAGCTCTATCTTCAGTTGCTAAAACACCAACTTCTTCCCAGTTTTAAGATTTGTAGGTCATAAGTATGGGTAGTCCTCGCTTAACGACCACAATAGGGACCAGTAAATTTGTTGTTAAGCGGGGCAATTGTTAAGTGAGTCGTGCCCAATTTTATGACCTTTTTTTGCAGTGGTCATTGAATGAATCACCACAGCCATTAAGCAAATCACATGGTTCCCCATTGATTTTGCTTGCTGGAAGCCGGCTGGGAAGGTCACAAATGGCGATCATGTGACCCTGGGATGCTGCAACTGTCGTAAGTGCGAGCTGGTTGCCAAGTGCCCAGATCACAGTTATGTGACCATGGGGGTCCTGTGACGGTTGTAAGCGCGAGGACCGGTTATAAGTCCCTTTGTTCAGCACCATTGTAACTTCAAATGGTCTCTAAACAAATGGTCGTTAAGTGAGGACTATCTGTATGCAAATACTTCTTTTCAGGACCACCACCAGGATCCATCCCTTCCCCAAGTTGCTGGACAGATATATACAGTAAATTCTCATCGTTCACGGTAGTTGTGTTCTATAAAGTCATGATGAACCATGAATTAGCAAATACTGAACCATCGCTCCTACGTCCTACAAGGCTCCAGTCACAACAGTTTCATCAACTGATCAATCTATAACCTTGTTTTATGTGTGTTTCTGTTTAAAGACGCCTTATTTAATGTATATATATTATTTAATGTATATATACAAATAAAGAAAGTCCTAAAAAAAAAGCAAGGTTAAGCATTTAAGGTTTTATGAAAAAGTCTTACTTTTGATGGCCATTTTAATTAGCAAGGTAACCAAACGAAGGCAGACATGTGCAGAGCGACGACTCAAAAGTTTCACTGCTCTGGGCACATCTGCAAATAACCGCCAAAGCACGGCAAGTATTGATTTTGAGGTTACAAATCTAATTTTGCAAGTGGGAGAATTTGCAAATACGGACTCCGGGAAGAACAAAGATGGCCTGCAGCAGGAAATTATCCAATTACGGGTGCCCGATTTCTCTCCCATTTTTGTGGGAAGTCTGATTAAATAGGTATGTTCAGTTTCCCAAAACCTTATTGCATTTTATAAATCATAAAATAAAGTAAAAACAGAATAATAAAATGAAATAATAAAAAATAAATATAAACTAAAGAGAATTGGATTAAAAATTCTGTCTTCACCCAGTCTACTAATAGTTTTTCTTCTGCTGGCTGATGTGATTCTACAGAGCTGAAAAACAATAATATAATATTAATTATACAACAACAGTAATATAATATTAAAAGGAAATGCCGGAGACCATAGTCAAGATATCTTGGATTAATTTATAGAGTCACCTGTTTACATCTCCCACCTGTAAAGGAATCTGAAGATGACCCTGGTACGAAAGAGCCATTGAAAAGGGATTGAAAAAGCGATTACCCAGCCCAGAACTTAAAGCCAGCCTGAGAAAGAAACTTAAAATAAACCTGGTTTGGTTTTGTTTAGCATAAGAGGGAACAGGGATAAACTTGGACTGTTTTTCAAGATCCTGTTGTTATACCCTATTACAGTATTTCCCAATCTTGGCAGGTTTCGGGTGGGGGGGGTTTCCACCCCCCCGAATACCCCCCCCACCCTACAGGGTGGGGGGTGTCTGGGGGGTGTGGGACACCCTTCCGAAGCGACCCA